AATCAGATCTTATCCATGTTCTCTTTCTTCATTTTAAAATACTAAGGGGGTTCAAATGTTTTAGGCTACATGGAGCATTTTTTGTAATATTTGAGTCCGAGCTATAGGTACGCCTGTAAAAACCCACATAGATTTTGTATTAACCAAATAGGTTGGTTGCCAGGAGGAGGGCATTGCTTGCATAACCTGTTTTTCCATTATCTGGTCTGTTGGTGTCACACAGCTTAGGGTTGTGCAAATGTCAGGACCTGGGGGGGGGGGGGCAAAGAGCAATGTGATGTTTTGGAAAGAGAAACTCAGGGAGCACACTGCCAGCCTCCTAACTTAGCAAAGCAAACTCCTTCAACACGGGACAATGAGGGGAAAGGTTGTATTTCATTTGGGCTGATGATGACAATTTTTGCCCACAATGCACAAGGTCCATATAATCACCTTCAGCTCAGCATATCTTAAGACTCCCTCTGCATGACCTTACTGTGCTGCCTGCATCAGGAGAAAATTTCATCTCAGCAGCAGAGGCTGCTGTCCATCAGTTGCTCCCAGGGACTTCAGCAGAGACTGGTGTGAAGTGAACTCATCAGGTGAGGACTCACCTCAAAGTACCAGGTATGTAGCTCTAGAGAGCCAATGCAAACATGAGAACTATAAGTAGTAAAATTGTATTGTGTATTCATGGTAAATCAGTAGATTCTGGCTGTTCTTGCCCTAAAATATAAGTGACTATGTAAGGTGATGGGGTTATTAATTTGCTTCACTGTGATAGCTTTTTTCTATCTATACATATCCCATAACAGCACGCAGTATACCTTCAATAGACACAGGAATTTTTTTAAAAATAATCATTGTTTCGTTAAAATGCCTCCACCTATGTGGCATTTTTTGTAAAATCAAAATTCCCACATTATGAAACACTCAAGATATGCAGGCCAATGTGCCCAAGGAAAAGGAGAAAGGTCCACCATATACTGGAGGTGGGTGGGTTCAAACCCAGCCCGGGCCAAAAAAACAAAAGTTAAGAAAAGGAGAAAGGTCAACTTAAAAAACATACATCTGGCACTTACTCTGAACAGGGAAGTTTGTCAAGGACCCTGAAAAAGTCTTAGAGGTTTTTACTCTAAGCTAATAAATGAATGAAGGAGACATTTGGGTGCTTTTTGGAAACAAGTGGGTGAATAAAACACTTAATGTTGTAGAAACAGTGGAAACACATCTGTCTTTAATTCCCACTGGTCACTTCATAAGGTTGGCACTTTCTCCTATAATTACTGGTAAGGTCGCTGCCCTTCAAGTCAGAGAGTAAATAACTGGATTACTAAGAACAGGAATACAGACCATATTTATTATTTATTTGAATGTTGTAAACATTTTTACTTTAAAGATTTCAGCTGTGGTGCTCACTTCAGCAGCACATATACTAAAATAGGAAGGAGACAGATAAGATTAGCATGGCCCCTGTGCAGGGACGACACAAAAATTTGTGAAGGGTTCTGTATGACTAAAAAGAAAAATATTAGAATTTCAATTATAATATCACTACCTTAGTCTTTACTTTTTAAAATTTGCCTGTGTTCTCTTTTATTCTTTTTCATTTTTTTGATTTCAGGTTAATCTGTGGGTATAAAGAATCAGGGTACAATGTTTGCATTTGTTGGGTGTAGTTCCCGTCGTAGTTGTGTCTGTGTTCTCTTTTAAATTTATACTTTATAAGTTGCATTTGAATTTTTTTAGGGCCTATATACTCTCATTTTAACATTCCTCCACATGCCTAAATGTATTACTTATGTTTGTACATGCTGTGTTGATGCCTTCAAGTTACACCACCTTGCCGGTTCATAGTTTACGTTACCGTCTTCTGTTGTTAGATGTTGAGATTTTGTTCCCTACTTGTTTATGTTTATGTGGCTTCATGAAATTCCATTTCAACTTGTTTTCTTCTTTTGAATTGCTTCCTTTTGATTAATTTCTACTTCTGAAGATTCTGAAGTTCATGCACAAGGACAGTGTCTATTGCTCAATGCCACTAGATACAGCAAACATGTCAGATTTTATGGAAGATTTCAGTTTCCACAGTTTTTAGGGTACTCTGTTTATGGGGTGCTGTGCTTGGTTATTATTAGTCTGTGCATACAGGCCTGGAGAATGGTTCTAAATTGTACCCTTCAGAAAATTTAGTGCTATCACACACCAAGGATTTGATCTCATACTCTACAAGGCATCCTACACACTACCTTGTGAATTGCCTATAGACAAAACAGAAGGTTAGTTTTCAGGCATGTTGTATTTTTTACTATCCGAAGAGCCTCATATAGAAAATACAGGCATTTTGGTCTGTAGTTTTCTTCAAGACATAATGTAATACGAAATAGCCAGGAATCATTCTCATATCCAGTATATATTATGCACTTAACACATACATGTTGATTGAATGACTGTATTCATATCTCTGCACATTTGTAAAGTGGAACACTAGGCAAATAAGTGAGTACAACCATTTCATGCACTTAATTCATCACCATTTATTGAGGGCCTACTATGATAAGCATTAATGATAGGAGAATAGATAACATGAGCTTCCTTCCTCGGAGAACTCTAACTCAATTTTAAAACATCATGTTGTAGACCATAAATATATGCAAAATCAATGTGTCTATTTAAAAAGCCAAAACAAATAGCCTGACATGAAGTTCTGTAATGGAGATATGCTCAGTGAAGCGGGATTCATTCAGCTCAAAGTAAGAAACAGCAGAAGTGGCTACTAAGGCTGACAAATGCTCAGGCTGCACTTTGAGGGATGAGTAGAATCAGAGTTTAGAAGGCAGAGCAGAAGTGGGGGATTTCAATCTGGGAATAATATGCAGACAGGAATGCATTAAAGAAATGCCCTGTGATCTTAGGTGCTGGACAGTAGCAACAGAAAAAAGTAGGAAGGTAGACTGAGTCAATGGTTAAAAAAAAATAAAAGATTCCATTTACATTTCCTAAGTTAATCTTGAGCTCAGCAGCTGTGGTCAAGGCACCGTCCAGCCTTCATGCCATAGCCAGGTATCTCCTCTTCTCATACCACAAAGGAGATACAAGGAAAAGTTAAGCACCTACTGTTTTCTTCAAATGATCAACAAAGACTGGGAAGAGGAAAGGAACACACATCTGAAAAATCAGGAACATCCACCAGTTCCCACACTGCCCAACATCTTAAAGCAGCAGGATTCAAAACGTAGTTTAATCTTTGGAAGAAAGACATGTTTTTCCATAGGAGCAAACTAATACTGGTTTAATTACTGCAAGATTTAATCTTTCTTTACCATCCCCCCAAACCAGTGGTCCTGAAGGGTTATGCTGAAAAGGAGACAAACCTGAGATCTGGGAAGTGAAAGTGAACAGGGAACAAGACAGTGGAGAGTGATGCCTCAGAGCCAAAGAACTAAGTGTGTGGCTACACTGACAGAGATCCCATGGACACACCTGTACTCACACCACGTTGGTTTTACTGTCTTTTGCACTGGGAGAGATTGCACACCTGGGGGGAATGTGGTGCCTCTCAGCAAGAGTGTGGTAGGAGGACCCTGATTGAAGTGATTTGGGGAAGGATTCAAGGAGGCAGGTTTTGCTCTGGTGTGGACACTGTCAGAAAGGTGGACAATTCTATCTTTATCCTTGAAGCCAGTGGCAGGGAGCTGAGGTAAGGAAGGCACAGGAACTGGGGGGAGGGACGCCTGGCCATTTTTGTGGATAAGACTGCTCTTTTGTTGGTTTCTGTGGTCAAATGCACTTATGGAGAGGTTTTATTTCTGTCTCGTTCCATTATGTCCACAGCGTGACCTTGCCTGATGGGGCTCTTCTGTGAAAGTGTTATGTTTTAAGGGCTGCTTTTATTTTTCTTTCTCAAATTTGTCCACCATGATATAGGAACCTATTTTAGATAAAGAATCTGGGGAGCCAAAATCAGCAGAAGGGCCGGTAAGCCCAGACAGCAATGCCTTTCTTCTAACTTCCACTGTCCGAAATGTGTAACCACATGAGCCCATCAAGAAGTCAACCTGGGCGGCAACTGTGGCTCAAAGGAGTAGAGTGCCAGCCCCATATACCAGAGGTGGCAGGTTCAAACCCAGTTCAGGCCAAAAACTTCAAAAAAAAAAAAAAAAAAAAGAAGAAGAAGTCAACCTGACTATCTAGAAATAAAAATCTGCACCATTCATTGAAAAGACTATTATCCTATTCCCACTGAATTGCCCGTAAATCTTTGTCAAAAATCAGTTAAACACAAATATTCAGCCCTTTCCTGGGCTTTCTGTTTTATTCCATTGACCTACTGGTCTATCCTTTGCTATGACCACTCTGTCTTGAATGCAGTAGCTTCCTTGTAAGCCTTAAAATCATGTATATGTTATCAGCTTGGCCCCTTTATAAATAACACTTGGGTTGTTTGCTGAGTGACTTGAAGTTATATTTCAACATGAGGGGACATGGCATCCTGACGACACTAGGCTTTCTGATTCCCTCCTTTTCCCTGTATCATTATGAACAGTTTTAATTGTTGTGTCTATAACATCACTGATACCTTTTTCTTGTGATGTTTAAACAACTGTTAATCACACTTCATGTATTTTTTTAAGGTGTTGTATTTTTCACTTCCCAAAGCTTTCTTATTGTCTTCTTATCTTCTGTTTTTATCCTCATCGTCATTAGGCATTTTTTTGCATAGGAGCAAAATTATTGTAGGTTTTTAATATTCTTGTCTGCTAGTTTCAACATGTCTAGTTCTATTTATTTTTTTAAGTAAGAATGATCTTTTATGCAAGAATTATCACAAGGGGATAGGAGAAAGAACTACTATAATAGGGGGAACATAGTTTTGCAAGCATCTGCTCTAGATGTGCTTTTAGCAAAACTTTTCCTTCTGGTTCTGGGTCATATTTTCTGGCTTTTTCCATAACTTACTTTTATTATTGGATGCTGGACAATGTGAATTGCACATTGATAGTTGATACATTTTTTTAGTGCTTTATTTTTCTCTGATGCGGAGTTAAATTACTGGAATCTGTTGGATTGTTTCAAGGCTTGCTTTTAACCAGTATTAGGGGGGATCTAGATCAGACAAGGCTTGACTTAACTCCCTGAATAAACTTGAACATCTTACCAGATACCCTGTGTTAAGAGATCTTCCCACTGCAGCCTGTGGAAACACAAACTGTTCTGGGTAGTACGTTTTCCTTTCCAGTGATTCTTCCCCTACACTAAGGTAGTTCCTTTTGATGAGAGTCCAGACCAACTTTAGCCAAAAACTCTAAGGACTGCTCTTCTCCTAAGATCTCTAGGGAAAAATCAGTCTCTCTCTCTCTCTCTCTTGCTCTCTCGCTCTGCTTTCTGGCTCCATAATGCCTGCTCCACACTCCAACTTTTATGGACTGTATTCAGTGACAGCTCCTGGACTCTGCTTGAGTTCCCTCTCCTTGAACTGCGACCTGGAAGCTGCCTTTCAACAATGAGCTAATGCAACACTAGGGCTTACAATTTTGCTTTGCTCAGGGATCATAGTTCTGCATGACCTGATGTCCAAAATATGAAAATTATCATTATTTCAGGTGGGAAGAGAAACCCTCGTTCTATAATATAATGTGTATTTTTCCGGTCTCCTTTTTCCATGCAGTTGGAGAGGACTTCAGGGAAGAGACACTGAAGACAAAGCTGGCCATTAACACAGACCTCAACACTCTCCTGTCTGAGTCCCCTCTTGCTCTTCTCACTGCTCATGCTGTTTGCTTATCTCTCTAGGTGAAGTGTCCCTCCACCATGTCACTGCTGCAAGGGGCTAAGGTGCTACAGACGCTGGAGGAAGCCTTGAGGAAGAGCCTCCCTGCGTCCATAAAGGTGACTGTGGGAAATTCTAAGGGGAGTAGAGAAGAGAAACTTGTTGGAAAAGACACAAACAGACCAGCATTTATGGAGCACCTGTGTTCAGCCAGGTGCCAGGCCATGTTTCTCTCGCTTAATTTGTGTTACCTTACTAGAAGGTCTCTGGTATCATGTCTGTGTCATTAATGAGAAAATGGAGACTCAGTGAAGTTACCTGCTCGCTGTCTCACGGAGAGGGAGTTGCAGTGGTATAATAGGAGCCTGGGCGTGCCTGAGTCCAAACCCTGCCATTTGGGCTGTACTGACTCAAAAATGGTACTTTAAAACACATAATTTCTCAATGTTCCCTTCCAACATTGGCTGTGGTTACATGTTAATGACTAATGTGTTCACTCTAAAAGAACATTTGCCAGATGAGAGGTTAACATCACGAGTCTTCTTTGAAGTTAGGAATAGGTCAATTTTTATTGTCTTAAATTTCTCAATTATTCTGAATTTAATGCACACACATACCAGGCTGTTTGGAGGTGGCTCCCAATATCTCCCTTAGCCTACTATAATTCATTAGAAATCTCAGAATTAAAAGAAACATACCCATGTAAATGCTACATCCAAAACTGTACGTAGGGGCAGCTCTAATGACAGATCTGGATCCTTGCTAATATTTGCCTTTCGAAACCAGGGGGATGTTGTCCACACCATTAGAACCTACATATAATGGCATGCACGCATGTATTTGTGTGTGTCTATTCACAGCATAATCTCTTTGTAGACGTGTATTGTTTTATAAGAAATTTCTTTATATCGCACACATTTAAAATAAATACATTCAACTTCCTCATTCTCAAGCAGATTTTATCATTCCCTTCTTTCAGTATGAAGAAGAAAATATAAGCACTCTTTTTTTTTCATTCATTAGAAATACTTTACTGAGACAACTGGCCCTGTTCATTAATAACCCAACAAAATGGCTTCAAATCAACTAAACTAAAACTAAAGTTGCCCCTCTCAGCAGGACCTTACTAACGTTAATTAATATTACTTAACATTATCTGCCCTCAAGTGACAACCTTTAAGATATAGACAACCTCTCAGGGAGATGCTGAATTTTTTCTTGGCAGTTCATAGAAATATCTCAGGATACTCCCTGGACATTTCCCTGAAATATTTCTATGATGAGTGTCTATTTTAAAAATGCTCCAGGCTAAAAGGGTTTCTCCAATATTATGGGACATAGAATTTTGTGAATTAATTTTTTCTTTATCCTTCACATTATGTGGACCTTAGACATTTTGAAAATACTCTTGGTGTTTTGTAAGTTTCTTCACAAAGCTCATCTGTGGTAAGATAGGAAGGTTCTCCTGGCTCCTCAACTTTCATGAAGAAAACAGCATTTCTCTTCCTTGATTGCCTGTTAAAGATACACATTTTTGCCTAATATGAATGGGATATTTATGTGCTGGGTGCTTCTCAAGGAAGTATAACCTGGAACTCACTATCACTTCCATAGTGAAGGCCTAGTTGAAAATATCCATCCATCCTTCTAAGTATTAAATATTAAATACATCTCATTATACTTGTACATTCCATTTGATTACAATAATAATAGCTGCCTCTCTATGTTCTGATCATTGTATTCTGAGTTCAGCAGGAAAAAAATAATTTTAATTAATTAGGTCATGGTAGTAAGAAAGAATAACATTTCCACATATTTTCAGATTTCGCAATGGCTAATATTGTAGTGTAAATACATTTAAACAGATCACAGAAACAAATGCATAAAACGGCAACCTCTATATTTTGCCCCAAATGTACTGAATTTCTTTTCCAACATCCACTCCTGGCTGAAATAGAATAAATTCTAGATAAACTCAGTCAACTTAGAGATATTTTATTTTCCTTGCCTTTTTCCCTGGTCTAACAAAATAGTTCATGGTGGGGTGGAGGGCAGTAGGAGGGAAAGATACTAGTACAGTCCTTGGTCTTTGCTCAAAATGGAAAATATTAAAGTGCATGTCATATTTTTGATCTTTTCTTACTGGCATATTTTCATGCTATTATCTGCTGAAGTTTCATGTTCACAGCTGTCATGAGTTCCATGCTAGGCATCCATTACTGTATTTCCCAACCCTCAAACCATAAGGAGACATGTGTTCATATGTTTGTTCCAATTTATTTTCACACTTTCCTCTATCACTGCTCTCTCTCAGTAGCTTGTCCAAGACAGCAAGGTGGGAACTCAAGACTGAAGCCAGGATAGGAGACCCCAACACACTCTCTTGAGCAGTAGGTACAGTAAGCCTGTGCTGGCTGGAGGGAATTCATTTCACCTCTCTCTCCAATTTAAGGAGTTTTAAAGATCTATATAACATTTGAAGCAGTATTTGCTCTTTTGGATGCATATTATTAGAAAAGATCAGATAACCAAGCAAAGATTCCTATTATGCTTAAACAAGAATTGTTTGCTTATGTGCAAGCTTGAAAATACCTGTAATGGCCATTGATTGAATGAACTGTGATGCCTTTATATAATGGTAGTTTATTCAGCCATTAACAATAACTAATTGATTTTTATATTTATGAACATAGAAAGGTCTACAATATGTTCAGTTGAGAAAAACAGCAAGTGTCAGTAATTATAGTTTTCTAAAATTATATGTTTGTGTGTATAGAAGAAAGTTGGAAAAAGTTAATATCAAATTCTATAATAAACAATAGTGTTCTTGAAACGATTCATTTTATTTGTTTGAATGCTACTGTGTGCATGTGTGATTTATATCTGATAAGAAAAAATGTCTTCTCATTTCTCATTGACCTAAATTTTCTGTTTCATTCCTTTGCATAGTAGAAGTAAATAATTTTATAGAAATAATCCTTGTCCTGATCAAACAGAGCACTTTGTCCCCCTTTCTTCATAAACTGACTGTCTCACTTTCTTGGAAATCTGCAGGTTTATGGGACTGTCTTCCACATAAGACATGGAAACCCCTTTAAGCTAAAGGCCCTGGTGGACAAGTGGCCTGATTTTAACACAGTGGTTGTTCGCCCTCAGGAGCAGGTAAGGTGCCAGGTGTGGAGTGAATAGTTTTTTGTGATCATATTTCTTTAGGCTACCATGTGCTTGGATATATGGCAGAGCCAAGGAACACAGAAATAAATCACAGTGAAGGTCAATAAGTTCCTATCCTTAAGAAGCTTAGAGTCTGGAGGAAATGGTTGACAAACAGATAAATTATAGCTCAGTTTGAAGTATGCATACAGAATTAACCCAAGTGACATCTGATTAAACTATGGCATAGAAGGTGGAAGTTACCAGATATGTGTTAGTAGAACTAGATTTTATAGGTAAATATATTTTTGTCAGGATGACAAGGAAGCATGGAAATTCTAACCAGAGAAAATGGCAAAGACAAAAATCCAAAGGTGTGGAACAGCACGATGAGTTACAGTGACTACAAGTAGCACAACTGTAAAGGTAGAATTTCCGTATATGTTCAAAAAAAGACCTGAAAGTTAGTGAAAGTAAATATTTAATACTTTCAAGGTAAAATTTTTAAAGTGTATTTCAAAATGTAAAAAACACAAATGTCTTTAGTACAAAGTTATTCAAAAGTCATTAATTTAACAATGATATATTTATCATTTTTGTCGTGAAAGCACTTATAATCCATTCTCTTAGCAATTTTCCAGAATAATATACATTGTTAAGTATAGTCATCATGTTGTACAATATTTGTCTTGAACTCCCTCTGTCTTTTTTCTTATTTTTATTTTTTATTAAATCATAGCTATGTACATTAATATAATTATGGGGTATAATGTGCTAGTTTTACACACAATCTGAAATAGTTTCATTAAACTGGTCAACATAGCCTTCATGGCATTTTCTTAGTTATTGTGTTAAGGCATTTATATTCTACACCTAGCAAATTTCACATGTACCCTTGTAAGATGCACTGCAGGTGTGGTCCCACCACCTACTCTCCCGCCACCCATCCTCTCCCCTCTCCTCCTCTCCCTTTCCCCTTTCTGCTTCTTCTTGGGCTATAATTGGGTTATTGCTTTCAAAAGAGCTGGGTTATTGGTTTCATAGTAAGACTGAGTATATCAGATACTTTTTCTTCCATTCTTGAGATACTTTGCTAAGAAGAATATGTTCCAGCTCCATCCATGTAAACATGAAGGAGGTAAAGTCTCCATCTTTCTTTAAGGCTGAATAATATTGTATAGGGTACATATAACCACAGTTCATTGATCCGTTCATGGGTCGATGGGCACTTGGGCTTCTTCCATGACTTATCAATTATGAATTGTGCTCCAATAAACATTCTGATACATATATCTTTGTTATAAGGTGATATTTGGTCTTCTGGATATATACCTAGTAGAGGAATTGTAGGATCAAATGGCAGGTGTATTTTTAGATCTCTAAGTGTTCTCCAAACATCTTTCCAAAAGGAACATATTAGTTTGCATTCCCAACAGCAGTGTAGAAGTGTTCCTTTTTCTCCACATCCACGCCAACATCTCTGGTTTGGGGATATTGTGATGTGAGCTAATCTTACTGGAGTTAGATGATATCTCAAAGTGTTTTGGATTTGCATTTCTCTGATGATTAAGGATGCTGAGCATTTTTTCATGTGTCTGTAGGCCATGTGCCTGTTTTCTTCAGAGAAGTTTCTCCTCAAGTCCCTTGCCCACACTGAGATGTGATCACTTGTTCTTTTCATGCTAATATGTTTGAGTTCTCTGTGGATTTTGGTTATTAAACCTTTGTCAGAGACATAACCTGCAAATATCTTCTCCCATTCTGAGGGCTGCCTGCTTGCTTTACTTACTGTGTTCTTGGCTGTGCAGAAGATTTTTAGTTTGATCAGGTCCCAGAAGTGTATTTTTGATACTGCTTCAATTGCCTGGGAGTCCTCCTCATAAAATATTCACCAAAGCTGATTTCGTCAAAATTTTTCCTTGCACTTTCTTCTAGTATTTTTATATAGTTTCATGTCTTAAATTTAAATCTTTAATCCAGTCAGAGTCTATCTTAGTTAAGGGTGAAAGGTGTGAGTCTAGTTTCAGTCTTACAAGTTGCCAGCCAGTGCCCCCAGCACCATTTGTTAAATAGAGAATCTTTTCCCCACTGAATGTTTTTAATTGACTTGTCAAAGATCAAATAATGGTAAGTAGGTGTGTTCATCTCTTGGTTCTCTACTCTGTTCTATACATCTACCTCTCTGTTTTTGTGCCAGTACCATGCTGTTTTGATCACTATCGATTTATAGTATAGTCTGAGGTTTGGCAGTGTGATTCCTCCTGCTTTGTTTTTATTTCTGAGTAATGTCTTGGCTATTCGAGGTTTTCTCTGATCTCATATAAAACAAAGTATTATTTTTTCAAGATCTTTAAGGTATGACAGTGGAGCTTTAATAGGGATTGCATTAAAATTGTATATGGCTTTGGGTAAGATGGACATTTTAACAATGTGGATTCTTCCCAGCCATGAGTATGGTATGTTTTTCCATTTGTTAACATCTTCAGCTATTTCTTTTCTTAGAGTTTCATAGTTCTCTTTACAGAGATCTTTCATGTCCTCTGTTAGGTAAACTCCCAAATATTTCATCTTCTTTGGCACTACTGTGAACGGAATAGAGTCTTTGACTGTTTTATCAGCTTGACTATTGTTGGTAAATATAAAGGCTACCAATTTATGAGTGTTGATTTTGTAACCTGAGATGCTGCTGTATTCCTTGATCACTTCTAAGAGTTTTGTAGTAGAATTCCTGGTTTTTTCCAGATGTACAATCATATCATTGGCAAAGACTGAAAGTTTAATATCTTCTGACCCTATATGGATACCCTTGATCACCTTTTTTTGCTGAATTGCGATGGCTAAGACTTCTATTACAATATTAGAAAGCAGTGGGGACAATGGGCAACCTTGCCTGGTTCCTGATATGAGTGGAAATAATTTCAATTTAACACCATTCAGTACAATATTTGCTGTGGGTTTGCTATAGATGGCCTCTATCAGTTTAAGAAATGTCCCTTCTAAACCATTTTCTTAAGTGAATGGAGCTGGATATTATCAAAAGCTTTTTCTGCATCAATTAAGAGAATCATATGGTCTTTGTTTTTTAATTTGTTTATGTGATGAATTACATTTATAGATTTATGAATATTGAACCAGCCTTGAGACCCTGGGTTAAAACTCACTTGGTCATGGTGTATAATTTGTTTGATGTGTTGCTAGATTCTGTTTGTTAGGATCTTGTTGAATATTTTCACATAAATATTCATTAGTGATATTAGAGTATAATTTTCTTTTCTTATTGGATCTTTTCCTAGTTTGGGAATCAAAGTGATGTTTGCTTCATAGAATATGTTGGGAAGTATTCCTTCTTTTTCTATATTTTGGAAGAGGTTGAGTAATATAGTTATTTGTTCCTCTTTAAAGGTTTGGTAGAATTCTGATATGAAACCATCTAGTCCTGGGCTTTTCTTTTTAGGGAAATTTTTTATAGTTGATGCTATTTCAGAACTTGATATAGGCCTGTACAACATTTCCACTTCATTCTGGCTAAGTCTTGGAAGGTGGTGTGCTTCCAAGTATTGGTCAATTTCCTTCAGGTTTTCATATTTCTGAAAATAAAATTTCTTGTAATATTCATTAAGGATTTTTTGAATTTCTGAGGAGTCTGTTGTTATTTCATCATTACCATTTGTCATTGATTAAGTTAGAGATTTTACTCTTTTTTTCCTGGTTGGGTTTGCTAAAGGCTTATCTATTTTATTGACCTTTTTAGAAAACCAACTTTTTGATTTATTGATCTGTTGTATAATCCTTTTGCTTTCAATTTCATTTAATTCTGCTCTAATTTTGGTTATTTCTTTTCTTCTGCTGGGTTTAGGATTGGAATGTTCTTCCTTTTCCAGATGCTTGAGATGTCCCATGAAGTTGTTAACTTCCTCTCTTTCCTTTCTCTCGAGGAAGTTTTGCAGTGCTATAAATTTCCCTCTTCAGACTGCCTTTGCAGTATCCTAGAGGTTCTGATAATTCATGTCTTGATTATCATTTTGTTCTAAAAAGTTGATAATTTCCTTTTTAATCTCATCTATCACCTAGCTATCATTTAGCTTAAGGTCATTTAGTTTCCATGTTTTTGTATGAGTATGCAGATTCCTGTTTGTTACTGAGTTTGACTTTTATTCCATGATGGTCTGAGAACATGCAAGGAATAATTTCTATTCTTTCAAATTTGCTGAGGTTAGCCTTGTGACCTAAGATGTGATCGATTTTGGAGTATGTTCCATGGGCTGATGAGAAGAATGTGTATTCAGTCTTGTTAGGATGAAATGTTCTGTAGATGTCTGTTAAATCCAAATGTTGAATGGTAAGTTTAAGTCTAAAATTTCTTTGCTTAACTTCTTATTGGAGGATCTATCCAACACTCCCACAGGAGTGCTAAAATCTCTGACTATTATGGAGCTGGAGGAAATCAAGTTGCTCATGTCTGCTAGCATCTCTCTTATAAATAGAGGCACATTCTGGTTGGATGCATAAATGTTAATAATTAAAATCTCATCATGTTGAGTGTTACCCTCAACAAATATGAAGTCACCATCCTTATCTTTCCTTAATTTTGTTGGTTTAAAGCCTATTGTATCTGAGAATAAAATTGCAACACCTGCTTTTTTCTGATTTCCATTTGCCTAAAATATAGATGACCATCCCTTCACCGAGTGTATATTTATCTCTTATGGTAAAATGAGATTCTTGTATGCAGCAGATATCTGGCATGAGTTTTTGTATCCAGTCAACCAACCTGTTTCCTCTAAAGAGGACAAATTAAGCCATTCACATTAATTGAGAATATTGATAAGTCTGGTAGAATGTTGGGTATCAAGATTTTCTGAAGTCCAGTGGACATCTCCAATCCATTTGGCACTGGGGAAATAGGAATTTGATCAAAAGTTTCTGAGTGAGTTTACTTTTGTGGTGGAGGATTATGCTGGTCATTACAGAGGATAGGTCTGAGAATATCCTGGAGAGCTGGTTTAGTT